GCTGATATTGTCTATCAAACCTGCAGGACGGACACAGCAAAAACTTCTCCACCCTACCCTGACCAAAGGTTCAAACTGCTCAACGATTAACAACCAGAGTCCAGCTTCAGCCCCCAACCAAACATTCAGGTCCCCTACTCCACTCCTCAGCATGCCTCCCAGCTTTGCCAGCTGCAATATCCTGTAGTGTTCACACAAAGAAACTTTCAGAAATACTGGTCCAGGCTGGCTTCACACCAGCACTTGTACAAAAGAGAGTGGAAGGGAGAATGAGATGCTTTGACCTCCGTACCAAAACCCCTTCAGTCACTCGTGTTCCCTTATATCATTACGGGCTGAGGATCCTGACAGACAGCCCACACCAAGCCCGTGCTCCTGGCAGCAAAGGAGACAACCTGCCCACAGCGGTGCCCTGTGCTCAAGCTCTGCTGTGTCTCTGTATTAATCCTTGTGCCCAACTATCTGAGTTAGTGCTGCAGCATCTCAACCCCTGGTGCATTCCCAGCATCTCTCTCTGCCCTAATGCTGCTGTACTCGCTGTAATTTTCCATTCCTGTGTCCCTGCATTCCCAGTCCATCATTGCATCCAGGGGATCTCCCCCTGATGTAGTCACATTTCTGCTCTTAAACTGTCCATATTCCCAGCTTGGATCAATACCAATTTCTGCCACTTACTTGCCTACCTTTCAGCAAGCCCTTCTTTGTCCTGCATAGACATAAAACTGTAACCGTACCTTGCTAGAAGAATTATTTTTTTAAACCTCCCCCCCTCCACTTCCTCCCTCTATTCTTCTTCCCCTTCTTCTTCAGGAGTAATTTTATGTAATTTGCAACTGTCTGGCTGCAAATGAAAAGAGACACAAAGCGTTTCTGCGAAATATTGAAAAGCTAGCTGCTTTTCCCTCAAATTTCACTTAGCGAGAGGCTTTAACTTGGTATGTGATCACTGCATGTCATTAATAACCACTCCAATTCCTTTCAGAACTCAGCAAAGTGAAGGCACAATCACGATTCAAAGGCATGGGTTATTGAGATATAATATTGTTTCACGAGCCAGGGAGAAGTGTGCTAGGGAGTGAGGAGAAGGTGAAACACTGCACTGCTAGGCTGGCTGGCAGCTGAAGAGGACACTAGATTTAGGAAGAAGCTTGATTCCCTCTCTGCTTTTCAGACCCAAAGATTTTGCCTCTGTTCAACCTCCATGGGTTGTGCGTCTTTCCCCAAGCCCTGAGGACTCAGGCCACAAAGGGAGCTGATTTCTGTTTTGTTCCTCAGCAGATCTGTCTCCATCTCTGTTGAGTCTTTGGAGCCCATCAAACTGCTTGCTTGGACGGAGTCAGATTTCACTGTGCAGTTCCCCAGCCTGTTGTCAGCGAGCAAAATTGGGCAACATGAAACAGGGTCTTTGCCCATGCAGGAAGCAGAAAGTACTGTGAAGGGCCGGGAGCAGGAGTGCATCAGGCTGGCTAGGAAGCGGTGCTGGGCACAAGTCGCTGTGAGCAAGATGTGACGTGCTACCTGCTTGTCACGTGTACTGACCAGCACGACGGGCAAACCTGTCTCGCTGCCTGCCAGCCCTTTGGCTGTGCTGAGATTCACAGGTTGCTGTCCAGACCCGAGGGCCCACATCGCAGTGTGTGGAAGCAGGTTCCCTGCCCGCACAGCCACAAGGCAGGGCATTCCTCCTGCCTACCCCAGCTGACAGCAAGGGCATAGACACCTGGCATCATTTCACACTCCTTAGCAAGCCTGAGTGATCAGATACTTCTGCTAATTCACCAAGGATGCACTTTACCTCTCTGTTCCAAGAAGCTCCATCCTTCCTTCCCCAACAAAAGTTTCACACATTTGTTACTTCCAGACTGCACGGATAGCAATTCACCAGCTCTGAAGGCAACACAGGTGTTTTAGATAATACAATATATATATAAGCTGACAGTCTTCTTGCTTTACATCCTGAGCACACTAGCCCTTACAAAAGGGGGTGAAAGCAAAAAATCTGTCTACCTTCGGAAAACTATGCTAAGCTTTATTGTAAAAAAATATGCTTTTATTAGTTTAAATTCTATTTAGCTACCATACATCCACCAGCCCTCAATTTGAAAAGAAGAATTTTGATCTCCAAAAAGAAGAACCTGCCAGAAACGCCACCAAAGCAAGTAGAGACCATGGTGATTCCTAATGACTTATGAGGAAAACCTACAACACAAATATAAAACCTCAGGAAAGCTACACTGCAGCTATAGCCCTGCAGGAACAACATGGCAGCATTCTTAGATGGGCTGACATAGTTGGCATCAGACCCAGAGGGCCTAAGCAATACCTCTGTGGGCACAGGCCTAGTCAGTGACAGACTTCGAAGAAAACCCAGAAGTCCTGCTCCAGCTGCCTGATCACAGCCTAAAGACCTATCATAAACCATATCAAAGCATTTCCATAAGTCTGTCTTACCAAATCCCCAGTCTAGACTAAGAAAGCCACTTGCCTCTAATCAGGCTCATGAACTGTTGAGATCAACCACTGGTCTCTCCATTGAGACCAATAAAGGAAGGTACTTGGGTACTTTTGGCATCTATGGTTACTTTGCAATACAGTGGCAAGTGCAGGATTACCAGCAAGATCCTTTCTATGCCAGTTTGATCCCTTGCTGTCTTTAAACGTGCTGATGCATTCAGATGACAGTTTGTGTCACCCTACGCTGATGTCACACTCTTAAACTTTCTTCCTGCTATTGCTATGTGCAATAAAGAGATAGTAAGTGGGTAAAATGAACAAGAACTTGCTTGTTTACCAGCCTATGACCCATTTATTGAAACCGCAGCAGTGTGGTCCAGTACGTTCTGTTCTCTGTCCTATGCTAGGGTCGTCACTGTATTTCTGTTGAGAGGCTTTGCCACAGAGTTCATCAGATGATGATCTAGATGTGAACGTACAGAGACGACATTTCACAGTCCTGTTCCCAAAATAGGGAAACAATCAGTTACCTAGCACTCCTGCCTGGGACTCATTTCCAGAGTATTCTCTGTGATCAGTTGGAGGGATGGGTGATACTACACAGACATAAGCAAACCAGGCTAATAAAACAGGGCTGAAAGCCACCTCAGGTCACACAGCCCATGTCCATGCCAAGACCAACTCTGTGGACACGAGGATGGAGGTCTGTTCTGTTCTGACAGTGAGTATCTCTAAGTGACCACTAAAATGACCAGAGAATCCCTCCTTCTTGGTCATTGAGGTACTTTCCAAAAGATAAACTAAATGTGCTGAAGCAGTACACTGCCAGCCTGACAACTGACAGCTCAAACTACAGCACAGCTCATCTTCATCTTGATCCTGAAGCTTAATTACACCACATGGCTCATTAACTGTCTCCAGACAAACATATTTTAAAGTACTCAGCTAGCATAGACTTCTTACTATTCCCAAGCAGTTTCTTACATCTCCCTTAACACAAAAAGCCTTTAGAACACCACATCACAGATAAATTGCTCCTTTAAACACTACTCCATGCAGCACTCTAACCACTAAGAGCACAAACAGTAGAGGTACTAGGTATAGATATGTCTGTCTTCTCCACTGTGTTACAGCACTGTACCATGACTCACCATGATTGCTCCTCCATCCTTTAACTTGTTCTTACAGACTCTGCCTATTCTGCCCTGGACCAACACACACAGAAGATTACATTGCTTTAGCCTGAAAGGCTGATCTTTTCCCCTCACACAAAACAGTACTTGAGCACCTGGTTATCTGCACTCTTCCCTCTTGCTGCCCTGAGATAACCTGAAACAGTGAAGATCCTATTCAGTGGTAATTAAGTTACATGCATTTTCCAGCGCTCAAATGCCAACACAGGCCCATGCAAAAAGGGAGCACGGGTAACCAAATGTGGAAAAGGATGTGTGCATGTGGAGATCCTAAGGGGAGCTGGGAGAGGTGAGGGAAGCTATTTGGACCTGTATGGGTTAAAGAGGAAATGTTATGGTTCAGCATTCCTAAACCCTCTCAAGAGACCCGTTTTACATTAATTATTCTGTTGCCTTGAGCACTCAGGGCCTCTTGTGAGCTTCTGTCTACAACTTCTGTCTCTAAGTACCCAACTCCTCTGGCTACTCACCTCCAGATGAATCCTTCCAATATGCTCGATCAACTCCCTCAGCACAGCCAGGGAACTTCCCAGTCAAGCTCTCAAGTCATACCAAAATGGAAACAGCAACAATTCAGAACTCGTTTCAGCTCACCAGCATGTGCCAGGGAGGCAGAGAACTTTCCTGCGAGAAGGGACCTGTTCCACAGTGCCTGATCTCCTGCAATCCCTACTGCACTTTGCTCCCACCACCAGCTGTGGAATGAGCAGGACCCAGGAACAGACCACAGCTAGTTCAGCAGTCTTGGTCTCATCTATATAACCTATTTCTCTTCCAGACAATGGGATGTGGAAAGTGTATTTTTTTTTTTCCTCTGAGAAGCTGATCCAACTCTGCCAGTGCACCAGAAGTCATTTTGTGTCCTGCACAGAGCCACCCAAAAAATTGTCCAGGCATCCTGGAGGGCAATGGCAGACTAGGAGCGGATGCACCAAGAAATTCTGCACACCTGGAGGAAAAGGGTCTGGCACCTTCTCTTGTCTCCTGTCGGTTTTCAGCATGCCCACTGTGCAGGCTGGGGCCATGCACTTCACTCCAAAGCCAGAGCTCCCTAGTGACAGTGACAGATAGCTGAAGATGTCATGTCTCACCACAGAGACCAGAGCAGCACAGAAACAGGCTTGGCTGGAGTTACATGTGGCAGCCTTGGCAAGTTGGAGAAAAGAGCAGCAGATCTGTGCAGGGCAGCACTGTGCTTTGGCTCCCATAACCATGTTCTAACCCCCAAACCACACTTCTCTTTCACAAGTAGGACAATTAATCTAAGCCACTTCTTGCCCTCACTCCCTCCCCTGACATTCCCCATTCACCTGCCCATGGCACGAGCTCCAGGCACAATTCACTAGGACTTACCCCTGGCAAAGTCTTTTGTTCATGCAGTGCTGTCTGGGCTTTGATGGCAGAGTCTCTGGCACAGTATGTGAGGAACGCACAACCTGCAGTGGATACAGCAAGTGTCAAGTTAGATATGCAATTGCAGATGCACATTGACACAACGTTCCTCTTTGGCAACAGCAGGCGACTGAAGTACAAGAACTACAGATGCTGGCCAGTTCCCGTAGACCTCTGTCCCAATGTTTCTGCTCAGGTACAGAGGAAGTGCCTAGCACGGTCCTTGAGCAAGACCTGACTTTTTTATGGCGGGGG